TGATATCAGTATTTTTTAAAAGATTCTTATATTCACTCAGGGCTGAAAACTCAAATGTCATACTATTTCTATTTCCATAATGTTTCCCCTTAAATTCTCAACAATCACAAATTTATAGTTTTCTACCAATAGATAGACTAAAACAATTGTATCAGTCAAGGTAAAATCAGAGAAGCAGAACTGAGAATGATCCAGACTAAGGGACCTTAGTCAACCCTATGCAGCTGTGCTTGGTAGAGGAGCAATCTGTTGGCCTGCATCTGGAATTGGGCGTGATGTTACCATAGATCAGCCAGATCAGTAGTTGGGAAGGAAAGCTGAACAAGAACAAGAGCAGGGACGAACTAGAAACTTCTAGAAAAAAATGGAGATTGCATCTGTCTCTCATTACTCCAATTTATGTGACTTGGATGGCCTGAGGCCTGCAGGAGTAGCTGGCACACTTAGCTATAGAGCTGTATGTATCTTTGGCCCAGGACTCAGAAAAGCTCGAGGAGATGTTGCAGAAGCTGGAGGAGCTGCAGGCTGGGTGCTACCCCACGCCAACAATGCGAGCCAGGAGATCAGCAACAATGTGCATGAGGTACCACAGCGCTGGCACCCTGCAGTGGTGTTCCAGATTGTAAAAATTACAGCTGCTGCTTCCCTTATGACTTTCAAACCTCAAGCAAATTTCTCTGTGGTCAACTGCATTGCAATTCAGACACTGAGTGCCTGGAGTTAGGCCAAACTTCAGAGGTTAATGGCTCAGTTCTCTATGAGATCTACTCTCAATTTAGATACCAGCCACAAGCTCAGGGATTCCCAGGTCACCCACATGTCTGACCAACTGGCTACAAATTCAGAGGTTCCCACTACACCTCAGGTTTGATAATTTGCTAGAAAGACTCACAGAACTCCGGAAAAAGTTATATTTAAGATTACAGATTTATTATAGCAAAAGGATACACATCAAAACCAGCCAAAAGATGAGATGCACAGGGTGAGACCTAGGAGGGTCCCAAATGTGAAGCTTCCATGTCCTCTCCCCATGAAGTCAGGAGGAATTACCCTCCTAGCACATCAGTGTGTATTACCAGCAAGAACCTTATCTGAGTGTCAATGTCAAGTGTTTTTATTGGGGTTTCATTACATAGGCACCATTGATTGAATCCTTGGCCACATGATTGAACTTAATTCAATCTCCAGCTCCCTCCCCTCCCAGCAGGTCAGACTGATACCACATGGCTTAAAGCCCCAACCCTGGGATCACATGATCGAACTTTCCAGCATGGCCAGGCCTCATCCTGAAACCATCTTGACACCTGCCCTGAGTCATCTCAGAAGCATAAATGATCAGGGCCTACCAGGAATAATAAACACACTCCTACCACGTGGGAAATTCCAACAATTTGGATACTCTCTCCCAGGAACCAGGAACAAAGGCAAGTCAAATTCTTCATTATACGATTCTTTATTATACAACTAAATGGGAACTGGACAGAGAGGGGAATTCTGGGAACCACAGTTCCGCCTTAGCTAAGCTTACACAGTAAAAGGCCACCGCAACAGTGTTGTACCTGTCTTCCCTGCCCCACACCTTCGCACACCTCATGCTCCTTGCTGCTTCTCCCACTGCTAGCGTACAGACCACCTCCAGTGCTGTATCGCAATCACTTGGATT